CCGAGCCTTCCTCATCATCTCCAAAAGCTCCAGCTTCCTCAAAACACGCTCACTTGCCTGTTTCTCCCAGAGGCAGAAATGTCAAGAACCTTCTTGACTTGAAGAACAAAATCCCAGGGCACGGTGGGGTGCCCAGGAAACCCCAGCTTCACCCTAAGACCGAAGGGTTGGAACTTCAGTCCACAGAGCTCACGGATCAGGAGGAGCTGGATTCCCAAGGGGACCCACCAACAATGCCCTCGGAGACCCAGGACCAGAAGCGACAGCAGAGGCCACCAAGCAGATCTGTCCACCCCGTCCTTGCTTCGGGAAGGACTGCGGTGAGAGTGCGAACATCAGCGCTGCCCCGAAAGGAAGGTGTAGATAAGTCTGGCTCCTGGCTGCCTTCCCAGCCTCGTTTGGGGGCACCCTCCTGGGCCTCCGTCTCTTCTGCTCCCCAGACACCCACTGAGGGCAGCCCTCACCGCCCTGCCAACCTGCCTTCCAGCTCTGCTGACAATGACTCGCTGGACCAAGAGGCGGAAGAGCCGGCTACAGGCTCCCTCCACGCCAAAGACACTACCCCCGAGCATCTGCGTCCCAAGAGCGCAGCCCACGCTCGCCCGGCCGTGTGGCCCAGGCGCCAGGCAGCCTCCGGTGCCCTGCGCGACAGAAGCTCCGTGCACCAGGGCTCAAAAGCAGCCTTGCCGGCTCGGAGGGCACCCCATTCAGAGGTTGGAGAGGAAAATTCAAGTGCTTCAGCCCCACCCCTCAGGCTTTCTCCACCCCATGGGGAGACACTACGGCTGCTGCCCACCGAACCACACCCCCGGGCTCCGCTCTCCAGGGGCTGGAAGGAGGGCCACCATGTCCCAGCCGCCAAGGCCAATGCGCCATCGCACCCTACCAAGTCTTCCTCCGTCTCTTCACGACTCGCCCCAAGGACACAGGCCTCTGAGAGAGCGGATACCTCTGATGGCGATGGTGACGATGATGCAGAGGATGAAGAAAGGCGGGCCAAGGCCACTGCCCCCACGCTTCGCGCCCGGCTGCCCGCAGGTCCCCCGGTCTCTGGACATTTCAGAAACAAGCCCTTTGCCGCCCACGGCAGGTACCCGAACAGACTTGGCAGTGGCCGAGGACCCAGGATACAGCTCTCCAGCTCCGCGCCGTCCACCGCGTCCCCCCGAGTTCCCTCGAGGGGGAATTCTCAGCCAGCGTCTGACCTTAGGCGTGGCGCGGGTATCCATGGGGAGGAGATGGAGGCAGAAGACGAAGAGCCACTTCCTCCCACCGTGGGGAACCACCATGTGCCTTCTTCCTCCTCCGCGCAGTCTGCCTCCCGCGGCGTGGACCCCCTGAAGAGAGGCCCCCAGAAAGGGACGGGTCTTCCGCGGAAAGAGTTCCTGGCGGAGAACCCCAAATCCACCGAGACCTGGGCAGGTACACACCCCCAGGACAAGGCTCTGCCCTCTAAGGCGCAGGACGTACAACAGAGCACCCACGCGGCGGTGGAGGGGGATTCTCCCAAAAGGCTTGTGTCCTCTGCTCGGCCACACATGGCGCGGTCACAGCATCACCCTGGGGCCAGCGCGCCCAAAAGGAAGTACGGGCACCCCCAGGCTGGGCGTCCCCACCCCGCGTCGCAGGAAAGCGCCTCCTTCTCCGACCCTGACGCATCCAGAGGCGGTCAGTCCCCCAACCCGGCGAGCTCCAGAGGGGTGCCCCCCACATCTCCCCAGAATCAGAACGAGTATTCCAAGAGCAGATACGGTGGAAGCCACGATGACAGCACAGAAACGGAGGCCCGAGGTGTCCGGGCCCCCTCACACTCAGCCCAGACCAAAGACGCCACCCCGTCCCTCCCCAAGCACCGCCAGGTGGAGGCGCCGGCAGGAAGCGCGGGGGACAGTCGCCTCCGCAGGCCCCCAGGCTCCTCCCTGAGGCCCGCTAGGCCCTATGCCCACACCCGCACCAGGGTCCCGGGCAGAGCAGGGCCTCAGGTGGTGGGGAGGAAGGATGGGGCGTCCCAGGCCACGCCATCCAAGAGGGAGCCCCTGACGGCTAAATCTCAGCAGTCGGTGTCAGCCGAGGAGGAGGAGGAAGATGCCGGCTTTCTTAAAGGAGGGAAGGACGAGGACCCGCTGTCTCCCTCTGTTTCAAAGTGGCCGTCCTCCGTTCCGGGGGGCAGCAAACATGCGGAGGAGACAGAGCCCGCCACAGTGCCTGTACCCCCCCGAGCCGGCGCCCCCCAGGCGGAGAACAGCACTCCCGCTCCCGTGCGGCGTCCCCCACCTCCGGGCAGCTCCGGGAGAGCCTCACACCTCCCGCCCAGGCAGCCCCCTCGCAGCTCTGCCACCCCCAGACCCCCCGGGGGCACCCCTGCCTGGCCTCAGGCCGCCACCCACGCCCCTCGCGTGCCTGTCTCCACCACCCCCATGCTCTCTCTGCGCCAGCGCATGATGATCTCCAGGTTCCGGAACCCCTTCTCACGCCAGCCTGTGAGACCCTCTTTCAGACAAGGTAGTTAGTTTTGAACTTCACCTTTTCTTTATGTTTTTCGGTAGTGTTCATAGCAATCCCAGAAAGGCTCCGACCTTATCGATCATCCGCTATGCCCAAGCTCCGTGTTAAGGGCTTTACAGACGTGCTGTGCCTTCATCCATCCTCTTAACCATCTCTAGGGTTTGCATTGTTTTCAGATGAGGAAGCTGGAGCTGAGAGATCTGAGCGACTTGCCGGGGTCAGACACCGGGGCAGTGGCAGAGCTGCGAGTCCAGGCCCTAACACCGGGTTCCTCCGCCCTCTGTCACTCCACTATCCCATAACGCCTCTCCGAATTCCTTAACAGGCGCTCTTCATCTGTGAGAACGTGTCACAGCCATGACGCGAACCTCAGGTTCCTGTAATTTAGGTTATTTTTTATTGTTCGCGTGCCAGGGTACATTTTAAAAATCGCAGTAAGAAATTAGATACTACCTGTGTAAGCTCGATCTGGTCCTTGTTGCCTTTGCATGTAAAACTCGACTGAATATTCCCTGGGCAAATTCCAGGGTCTCGAGTATGAATTGCTTAGACATTACACTCCAGAGATTGTTTCAAACCTCCGGAAAATGCATGTTAGACATGGTTGTCACACAGCTGTAACAGGCAGATATGTGATTTACACGGAGAACACAGACAGTTACGAACGGGAGTCTACGGGGACCCCACGGCAGGACCTAAAGTGTTCCCCCTAAGTCTGCATTCAGTTAAGGGGTGCCATGCACTCTCCTTGCACAGAATCAGGGCTTAATAGAACATTCCTGAATGAGTGTTTGTTCATCTGTGCAGTGTATTGTTAGTTCAGCCCAGTGTAAAGACGTAGAATGCATGCCCAACACTGAGGTCAGTTTTTCATTAAAATGGACTATTTTAAGCAAACCTAAGACCCTAATAATAGATCTAAAACTCACATGCTCTTATACGTAGCAGAAACTCAGTAAATATTTAATTTTCATTAACTGAGCAAGAGAAATAAGTCTCTGACATGCAAATAGTTGTCAGAAAGCCCAGGCACTTTATCCCACGGTGGGGGTGGCGGGGAGGGTGTGCCCGTACC